AATAACAAGTAAAATGACAGACACACAAGTCTTTCTAGGCAGGTGGGTGCAGGGTTGTTAACACAACAATGAACTCACGACCAGCTGTGCCCTGGGGGGTCCGGAAAGAGGAAATCACTGTCACCTTCCAGGGACCTGTTATCGCGGATGCGGATGCGCAAGGACCACAGGCCGTCACGGTGAAGACTGACCTGGTCAGGGAAGACGCCGCCTCGGAGGTGACCAGCCGCCATAAACTCCTATCAATGAAGTTTCCGTTTCCGGCCACCCGGTGTGGTCTCTGCAGGGCCTCCCCTGAGCTGCCAGGTCAGCACCGGCCCCTTCTCACCCACAGCAGCGACTCCTTAACATCGTTCCCTGAAGGTCAATGTCCACGTTTCTCTGTCTCTAATAAGTTTATTTTCCCGTCAGTTTTCCAAAACCCTGACACAAGCCAGGTGCTGGGTGAGCGCGCGGCTGCCCCCCAGGCCCCCACCTGTGAGCGCGGCTGCCCCCAGGCCTCGAACCTGGGCAGGGGTGGCAGCGTTTTCTGCACTGAGCGTTTTGGGCATTGTAAGCATCATAACAAGAAACCCTGTGTCTCCCCAGCCAGCGAGGAAAGGGCCAGGTCCTGCCACCTGCCCAGGCTCCATGGGCATCGGCCACGGTTGGCGGCTGGGGACGGAGAAAGCAGCTGGGGCCACGGACGCAGGCGGCGCCACCACCAGCTCCACAGCAGAGCCTGGGAGGGGCCGTTCGTAAGATTCAGGAGCAAATATCCGTGACGTTCATGCATCGTCAACAAAGTCAGTTCGACAAGACACAGACCCTCCCCAGGCCAGACAGAGGGAGCGGGAAACTGGCACCCCCAGCACGAAGCGCCTCCCCCTTGCGCAGCGAATGGAGCGTTAATGGGGCGCCGTGTCCTGGGACTTGAAGGCATTAGCTTTTCCAAAGTCAGTTCATAAGCTTACCTGCCCCTCCAACCCCCACGTCACATAGGCCATCGGGTCTGGAAAACGAGACAATTTGACTATAAAATTTATTCCACAAAACGAAGAGCAAGAAGGAAGGAAACCCTTGGAGAAGAACAGTGTGGGGCTTGAGGCGGCGCAATCGGCACGGGAATGAGCAGACGCCGCGGGCCGGAGAGCAGACCTGGAAACGGGGCCGTGCCTGTGGGGTGCGCCACGGGGGACGGGCATCCCGCCACAGGAGAGGGGCTCCGGCCCGTGCTCTGCAGGGGGCGGGCCAACGTGGACAAGACAGAACTGGACCCGTTCCTTAGGCGATACACCGGCTGCATCCTGAACGGAGCACCGGCGTCACGGGGCGAACCTGGTTTTATCTTCATTCTTTCACGGTCACGCTCTGGCGGCTTTTCCAAGAACTCCTGGCTCCCCAGGCCCCACCTGCCTCCTGCTCTCCTGTGACCGTCTCGGTTCCTGCTTTCTGTTTGGGCCCTGATCCCACTTCAGCTTTCGCGCCAGGTGCGCCGTGTAGAGCGAGGCCCCTTCACCTGTGCACCTGGCGCCCACGTGCTCCAGCCCCGGGTGCGGAAAGGTGTGTCCCTGCTGCTTCGACATGGCCAACTGACGGGGTGACGGCACCTCCCCATCAGACCCCATGGGAAGGCCTGTCTGTAACGCCCCTCTAACGGCCCCTGACAAGCACTGACCTCTCAAAGGTAAACGTCTTGTGGATGGAGTGGTGGCCGGGCCGGCTGCACCGCACCAAGACGGTCTCCTGAAGGGAAAGGTGAAGGCGGTGAGGCCCGGCCCACCCGAGAACAGTCCGGACACAGCCCTGCCCGCTCCATCGCCGTCTGCGCCACGTTTCCCCGAGGCTCGGCTGAGTGACCGAGACAGAGACCGTCCGGCCCTCAGAGGCGGCAACCCTGACCCTCGGCCCTTCGGAGGGTCTGCTGCCCGATGTGGGGGCCAAAGTCAGGGCCAGGGAGGGAGCCCGGGGTCCCGGCCGGCCCACGCCCAGCCGGCCTGAGGGCGCACGCACACCGGGACCTCCTGGCTCAGCAGCGAGTGCGGGACGTGGGGGACAGCTGCGCGGTGGGGCTCCCGCTCGCTTGTAGGTGACTTTGCCCACGACAGCCACACGCAGGGACGCAAAGGCCGTGTCCAGCCAGAAACGCGACCTCAGCTCAGCTTCACTTAAAGCAAAAACATCTGAGCTGGTTCCAAGTCTAAAGCCAAATGCAAATTCATGGAGGACAGGGGACAGGGAAGAGTTAAGAAACAGCCCTGGCCGGTGTGGCCCTCTCGGCTGGAGCATCCCGGCCACCCAAAGGCTGGGGGTCCGCTCGCTGGTCGGGTGCGTATGGGAGGGGCTCCGGCTCCTGTCACCCCAAACTCTGAAGCGGGCGCGGCCTCGCGGGAAGGGCAGAGCCCAGGCTCCTGGCTCCAAGCCCGTCTGTCCGCGGCGGCCGGCCCCCTCCCTGCGGCCTGGTCTCTGGAATTCCTCTAAAGTCACGCCAACGTGCAACCCCAGTGCCCGGGGGAGCTGCACAGAAACTCCCCCAGAGGGTCGGGTGTCTCCAGACGCCTACACTTCAGTCATAAAGACAAACAAACGAGAAACGCAAAGGCTCACCAGGCCTCGCCCCGAGGCTCAGCCACCCCTACGGAGCCTAAGGAGCCACAAAACAAGCCTGAACCCAAGACCCCGAGGTGCTCAGCACCGGGAGCCCTGGGTGCGAAACGGCCCGGAGCAGAGTCTAACCTTCGCCAACAGCCGAGGCCCCTCCTGCGGCCTCACGGGTCCTCAGCGCGACCCCACGCAGCCCTCATCTCCGGTGAGACACCTTTCCTGGGCCGTCACAGGTTCCTTTCACCTAAACCCCGAGCTGTTGGCCCAACACCCTCCCTCGGGGGCAGGCACAGCCAGGCTGAGGTTTCCATGGAAGAAGCAGGGGCCGCCTGGTTGTATCATCTATTTTCATACACGTGGCCCTGCCTCCCATGGACGCACGTGCTCCCGGGGACGCCACGTGCTGACCATGGACGCCACGTGCTCCCGGGGACGCCACGTGCTGACCATGGACGCCACGTGCTCCCGGGGCCGCCACGCCACGTGCTCCCGGGGACGCCACGTGCTCACCATGGACGCCACGTGCTCCCGGGGACGCCACGTGCTCACCATGGACGCCACGTGCTCCCGGGGACGCCACGTGCTCACCATGGACGCCACGTGCTCCCGGGGACGCCACGTGCTCACCATGGACGCCACGTGCTCCCGGGGACGCCACGTGCTCACCATGGACGCCACGTGCTCCCGGGGACGCCACGTGCTCACCATGGACGCCACGTGCTCCCGGGGACGCCACGTGCTCACCATGGACGCCACGTGCTCCCGGGGACGCCACGTGCTCACCATGGACGCCACGTGCTCCCGGGGACGCCACGTGCTCACCATGGACGCCACGTGCTCCCGGGGACGCCACGTGCTCACCATGGACGCCACGTGCTCCCGGGGACGCCACGTGCTCACCAGGGATGCCTTGTGCTCCCGGGGACGCCACGTGCTCACCATGGACGCCACGTGCTCACCATGGACGCCACTAAATCTGCAGCTTTAATGGCTTGAGGCCCTTGAATAAGCAAGTCTGTTAAACTAAGAAACCACTTGAATTCTGCTGATTTTTAAAAACATAATCCAAAATGTCCCAATCCAAAAACTCTCATCTTATCTTGATGAGTATTTTTAAAACGTTCAAACTTCTGAGCTGGAAGAGGCGGTGGAGTTTGGAGGATGGGAGCACTGCCAATAGAGTAGCGAAGGACAGCGGGAATGAGGAGGACCACAGCGGCCGGCCAGACCTCGGGCTCGGATCCCGGCCCTCGGGGGACCCAGGGCGCTGCCGGGCGCCCACAGGCCGTGGAAGTGCAGAGACTCAGAAGTGCTCCAAGGTCTTCAGCCAAAAGGAGGGACTAATAAGGTGATGAGGCTCCTTTTAACCCGGATTCCTAAGTGAGCACCTAGCCTCTCCCGCCACCTGATTCAGCAACACTGGTGCCTAAGACCAGAGGTCAAAACTCAAAACCAAGAAATTTCTAAAGTGCTCGTTTCCAGAGACTTTGGTGAAGGCAGTTCTGGACCCAGCTAAGCGGGTCCCTCGCTACTTACAAGGGAGCGCCAGCCGCCCGCCGCGGCCACTGCACAAAGAGCTGCTGCCCACGGTCTGTCACCATCACCAGGCCGACTCGACGGCCGTGTGGAAAAGACGATGAGACTCGGGGTGACCCCTACAACACAGACCCCCAAGCGGTCCCTGCACCCCGATGGCACGGGACCTGTGGCTCTCACTGCCACTCCCGGCCCGTTTGGTACAATAAGCTAAGAAATACATGAGCGTTAAAGAGTAAACACAACCAGAGTTCACAGTCGTGTTGATCAAGGAGGCCCTGGGATGAGGGGCCTCACTGCCCTGGTGGCCTGGGAACAGGTGGACACACAGGGACAGCCCTTCCCCAAAGAGCCAGCCTGAGACTTCACCTGCCGCCAATCAGTGAGCGCCTCTCTGCTGCAGCCAATCAGCGAGCGCCTCTCGCTGCTGCAGCCAATCAGTGAGCGCCTCTCACTGCTGCAGCCAATCAATGAGCTCCTCTCTCTCTGCAGCCAATCAGTGAGCTCCTCTCGCTGCTGCAGCCAATCAGTGAGCTCCTCTCGCTGCTGCAGCCAATCAGTGAGCTCCTCTCTCTGCTGCAGCCAATCAGTGAGCGCCTCTCTCTACTGCCCCTTCTCTCTGTGGTCTCCCCTCCCTTGGGCGGGGCCCTCCTCACCACCTCGGGGCTGGGGCTCCTGGTTGAACTGATAAAACGTCAGCTCTGCCTCAGTTTACCTGATGTGTCCGTTTCAGCGTTAACACTGTGAGTTCACACCTAACCTCATGGCTTCGAATTGTGTTTCTTTTCTGACGCTGCAAACTTGAGGCCCGTTCACGCACACGGACTGATGGGCTGGAGAACAATGCATGTGCAGCGCTGTCCTTGCATAGCCCGCAGGTCATGCAGGCCCTACCCCGCACAGGCCCTACCCCACACAGGTGTGCACACCACACAGGCCCTACCCCGCACAGGTGTGCACACCACACAGGCCCTACGCCGCACAGGTGTGCACACCACACAGGCCCTACCCCGCACAGGTGTGCACACCACACAGGCCCTACCCCGCACAGGTGTGCACACCACACAGGCCCAACCCTGCACAGGTGTGCACACCACATAGGCCCTACTCTGCACAGGTGTGCACACCACACAGGCCCAACCCTACACAGGTGTGCACAGGCCCTATCCCGCACAGGCCCTACCCCACACAGGTGTGCACACCACACAGGCCCAACACTACACAGGTGTGCACAGGCCCTATCCCGCACAGGCCCTACCCCACACAGGTGTGCACACACGCAGGTACACAGGTCAGGGCAGGGGGCCACTGGAGGTCAACAGAAACCAAGAAACAAAACCACCTTCCTCACTGAGCCGCATGGGATGGAGCAGGGAGGGCTCACGGTCACTGTCTCAGAGGCACCTCAGAGGGGACACCTGGGGAATGTCTGCCACCACAGACAGCTCCTCCCATTCACCAGCCAGGAAACGCCACTCACGTCGTCCACCGCGTGGGCCACTTCTCTGGACGCAGAGCTGGGGGGAGAATAGCATTAGAACATGCCACCCAGAGCCCGGGGCCCCAGCTTTGGCTGGAAAATAGGAGGCATGCAGTTTCACGGCCACTTCTATGATTTCCCCGTAAAACACATATGCATCATGCACATGTGCACATGCAGTCACAGGTGCCCACGTGTATGCACATACGACCGTGTGCATGCACACACAGGTATCCACACACATGCACACACGTGTGCACACTGTGCAGAAGCAGATTACCTGCTGTGTGACACGGGGTCCTGAGGCTCGGCCGTAGGCAGCGCTGGGCGGATCCGACAGTGGACTCTGATGTTCCCCTGCAGCTCCTGCCACAGCAGAGGCCCTGTCCTGAGCCGGGAGGCGGCCGCCATGGACCCGCCTCCTCCCATCAGGTCCTTGGATGGAGATGTGTGCGGGGATTCCTACCCCCAACTCCACTCCTCACAAATCCCTACCAACCACTGAGCGCCCCATCCTCGCAAGATCCCTCCACCCCTTCCCGCCCCTCCATTCCCTCCCACAACCTCCACCCCCTCCCACACCCTCCACCGCTCCCGCGCCCTCTCTGGTCCTCCCTCCTGAGGTCCCTGCGGGCACAGGAGGCGCCCACACACTCACCACCAGGCAGTTGTGCAGCCTCTGCCGCCTCTGCCTCTCGCGGAGGAAGCTTGCGCTCAGCTCCTGCAAGGACTGCTCCAGGCACAGGGCCCTGGCGCGCCAGGCTGGGAGGGGCGGCCCCAATCACAACAAGGTTCCTGGGAGGGAGGCCCCGCTGGCTCCCACCCACCTCCTCCAAGGGCAGGACATTTACAAAGACCAGGGCAGGGGGTGCCCAGGGCTGTGGGAGGCGTTAGAGCCACTGCAGGGGCTGCTGTGCGCTGACCCCGTGACCAAAAACGGGCACCACACCCAGCACCGCTGGTGAGGAAACAGACACCCAGCAGCCACGCAGCCACAGCCCCAAATCCGGAGGTTTCCACAGAGACCTGGAGGAGGGGTGCGGAGCCTGGGCTGCAGGGACAACCCTGACTTGACTTCTGGGCAGCCAAGCCCTCAGCTGACCAGTGAGGACATGACATGTGAGTGGCAGGGACCAGGAGGACCCACGGGTGGACACTGAACACCCGGCCTGCGGGCCTCGCTTCCCGCTGGGCCCAAGACGATGCCGTACAGGGTGGGAGGGGGACCCCTTACACGGCCGCACCCCGTGGTGCTGTGCACTCTGCACAGCCGCCAGGATCTGGGAGAGACAGCCCTGCTGCTGGTCCTGGCAGCTCCGGAGAAGGTCCGCAGAGGAGGCCCGGAGCTCCCGCAGGTCCCGGCGCAGCCGCTGCAACGGCAGAGGTCCCGGTTAGCATCACTGGCCGGCCCGGGCCACCGGGGATGGCCACAGGCGCGTCTATAAAGCAGGACGGACCAGCAGCTGCTGGGACGCACATCAGTGTCTGGTGAACTCCACCTGCTCACACCCCAGCGCGCTCACGGTCGCCCGCGGTGCTGGAGGGAACAAGCCCAGCTCAGCTCCAGTGCCCGGCGCCCCGGCCTGTGGTTCCTGTGTCGGCATTTGAGGCATTTCCACCATGGAGCGTTTCCCCGGCGCCCCCGGAAGCCGCTCCCTGCGCGGGGGAGGCTGGTCTGAGTGCTGACTTCCTCGGGGTGCTGGCTGGGTCCCCTCAGACCGGACCGGGAGGCAGCTCTGGTCCACTCTGCAGACTCCGCCCCAGGACCTGACCACCCACCACAAATTGCTCTTCAATTTAAAGCGTTTCCACGTCAGACCCTCCTTTGGTCTCTGCGTTTGCAAGGCCATCAGCAGGCCTCCCTGAGCTGCGGGCAGCACGTGGCCCCCTCGTCCGCACCCTCACAGGTGCTTTCGGGGTGTACTGTGCGGCCAGTGGGAGAGCAGAGCCGAGGCCAGCCCGCCGGCTCCACCATCTGGCAGGGCAGCAGCTGCACTGCAAGGCCTGCGGGGCCCCCGCGAGCAGCTCTGCTCCCCGAATCAAGGCCGTCTCTGCCCGAGACCGAGTCCCGGGGGCCACAGGCCTCACACAGCTGACCAGACCAGCACCCAGCGAGTCCCCCACAGATCGTCCCTGTGGCAGGGTGTCCGCCCGGGCGCCTACCTGAGTCGCCTGCTGCAGCCGGAGGAGCGAGCGTGTCCTCTGTGAATGGCCCTCGCGCCATCTCCGGTCCGCTGTCCCCGCCAGCCTTAGGCGCTGAGGTTGTAGAGAAAAACAGCGGGTGCTGTCTTCCAACCCGCCTCTGAGCGGGTGTTTTCTCCGCAGGGGACAGAGTCTGCATCAGGGACATGCCCAGCCACAGCTGCTCCCGGCGGGCAGGAACCAGCCACGGAGGCCGCCCGCGGGGGCGCTTCTGATGCTGGGACGCGGGACAGCATCAGGAGGTGCAGGGGTCTGTGAAGGCCCAGGAGGGCGGGCGGATGCCGGCATCAGAAAGAGCAGCCGGAGAGGCACAGGGGCTCCCGCGGGCCTGGGGAGGAGGGGACATGCTGGGCATCTTCAGGGACAGTGCCAGGCCAGTGGGGGTCACAGGCGGTCACGTGTGGACAGCCCCCTCCAGGCTCCCTGGTGACAGAACGCGCTGACGACCTCGCCCAGCCAGCACCGCTCACGTGGCAGGCGGGGGGAAGGGGGGCGG